TTTCTTTTCATAAACCCAGTTTCGAAACCCTTCCGCCGCCGTGAAGTCGCACGAACAAGAGCTGCAAAGATGATGTTGCGAGATCGAGAGGAGAGTGAGATAGAAGGAACCGAGATCACGCGAGATTGGAAGCAAATGGTACGTCTCTTCGCTCTGATTTGGTTTCTATGGAGTTTGATCTGTTATTGATTAATATCCACCATCTCAATTTGGATAACACACCCCTGTTTCGTTCTTTCTCAAAAGAAAGTTGTAAATAATTTTCGTTAGTTTTCTTTAGATTTTTAAAATGATTATTAAAGCAGTTCTCAAGTATTAGTTTATTTAGTTAATAAAAATATATTTTTTTCTTTTGAAGAAAACTTTTAATTGGTAAATATATTTTCTAGCTATTTTATTTAGAGTTTTTATTAACTTTTCTTTTAAAACTTTTTTATATATATTATCATTATTATTATGTATATTATTATTTTTTTTTTTAGTTTCTTTTAGAATTATATATTATATTCTCTTTTGGAAGTTTTAGAGTTTAGAATATTTATTTTATTTTTTAGAGTTGATTTTATTCTTCATTTATTATTGGGCGTTTTGTCCCATTTGTCTTGCTTTGGTCGATGACGAGACCTCCGTAAATCATTATTAATCAAATTGTTGATGGATGATGTAGGATCTGAGACCACCTTTTCTCTCTTCCTTTCTTGTCCCGATTCGATTCACCGGCGCTATCAAACTATCTTCAATGAAGGAACTGAGTTATATTCGTGTTGAATTGAAAAAAGAGGATTAAGTGTAGACTTTCTCCCTCTCCAAGTGTCGAGATGCTCACTGTAGTGTGGGTGGTTTTGACACTCGTCTTTCAATACGAAGACGCTCGTATTCTCCGCACTCATCCATATCCTCCTCCTAAAACCTCGGTCTCGTACCGAGTGTAACTTTGAAAATATTTTCAAATCATATTTTCTTTGTATTGGATTAAAGAGAGGGGATTAAGTGTAGTCTTCTTCCTCTCCGAGCATTGGGATGCCCACTGTAGTGAGGGTGGTCTCGATACTCGTCTTCCAATACAAAGACGCGACTTTATCCACCATATCTCACTTTTACAACTTCATCCCGTAACCTTTCTCACCTAAAACCTCGGTCTCACACCGAGTGCATTTTCAAACTCGTTTTTTATAACAAAACTTGAATGGTCGTGGAGTGGTTAGGCGTAGGCCTTCTCCTATCCCGAGTGCTGACGTTTACCGTAGGGTTCTCTGTCGCAAAGCACTTACCATTCAAAACCAAAAACATCTTTAATAAGAGAACGAAGTTCTCTTTGCATTGAATTAAAGAGAGAGGATTGGGTGTAGACCTCTTCTTCTCCGAGCATAGGGATGCCCACTGTAGTGAGGGTGATTTCGACGCTCGTCTTTCAATACGAAGACGCCTCGTTCACCACACCCTTTTATAACAAAAAACTTTGAGACAAAGAATTGGGTACTACCCGTAGGGGTTACTATCCGAGGACATGTCTCTCCCCCTAAAAAAAACAATCCAATCAATCAAACGTGACTTCCTGCCCCGCGTGGCGAAAACTAATCAATCTTTCAAAAAGGATATGTTACGTCCGTTCTACCGCAAACAGGTAACGCCTAAGTCTCCAACGAGCGAGCAGCGAAACACCTAACTGCTAGAATGCGCACGATAGCATCATCCATAAAAAACATCAACACACCGTTAGCACGAACTACGTTTGCTCTGATTTCTCATGCCAGATGAGAATACGTAGGCACAAGACGACGATGTCTTGGCGAGCTCCCTTTTTCACCTTTCACCTGTAGTTGGCCGAATTACGGCTGCTCTGATTTCTCATGCCAGATGAGAATACGTAGGCACAAGACGGCGATGTCTTGGCGAGCATAATCCCCCTATCACCCGTAGTTTCCCGAACTACGTCGACTCTGACTTTCTCATATCTGTTGAGAATACGTAGGCCTAGGACCGCGAAGTCCTATCGAGTCCTTTCTTTCCCTCGTCACCCCTTGTTTCCCGTTTCTAAACCTTTCCCTTAACCCTTTTGAAACACACTTCTTATAGCATAATATTTAAGCAGATAAATTCACACATCGACAAACAAAAGGTTCCCATCGAGTACGATGGATGCGAGGGGTGCTAATACCTTCCCTTCGCATAACCGGCTTCCGAACCCGTTCTTGGTCGCGAGACCATCTTATCCATTTCTTTCTTAAGGTTTTCTCGATATTTTCCTTTCCCCTCACGGGATAAATAAAGTTCGGTGGCGACTCTTCTGTCTATCTTTTTCGCCTCCCCGTCGTTGCACGATGCATTTTTCGAGTAGCGACAAATGCATCATGCCACGGCCAAATGCATCACATGCTCGTGAAATCCAAGGACCAAAGTTGCTTATTTCTTCTCTTTTTCTTCAGATTTTTTTCTAAGTCCCTTATTTTCCGCTCTTAGTATTTTTTTTTCTCCATTCTTCACACCATGACATGGCTTTTGCTCAATATTTCATACTTTTCTTTGAATTTGCTAGTAAAAATCACGTAATGTCGACTCTCATCACCGATAAAGTCAAATTAAAAGTTAGAGATTATTTATTTAGATTTATTTGGGCCATTTAAAGTAAAGTCAATCAGAGGTAACTTTTATTTTTCTAACCTTCATAGATTAGTTCACCGGGCATATGTGGATTTAGTTGATGGAAAAGAAAAGTGATGTGTTCACATATTTCAAGAAATTAAAATGTTAATTGGAAAATAAATTAAATGTGAAATCAATATATTGAGAACCAATGGAGGGGATGAATATACTTTAATTGAGTTTGCATGGTTCTGTGGGAAAGAAGGAATTGATCATAAGATAATAACTCTATATAAATCCTAGCACAATGGCATTACTAAAAGAAAGAATAGAAGCATATTTAAGATGGCAAGAAGCATGCTCAAGGCTATACAACTTCCAAATCACTTTTAGGTAGAATCAACCCACTTAACAAGGCATATCAGTAATATATGCTCAAGAAGTTACTAAACAAGATACCATATGAAGCTTAGACAGTTGTGAAGCTAAGTGCTAGTCACTTCAGAATTTTTGGCTCACTTTACTTCAAGCATGTACCAGAGCAATTATGAAGGAAGTTGGATAGTAGAAGTCAAGAAATGATCCTCTTAGTTTATCACTCAACAGGTGTGCATACAAACTATTTTTACTTAATGAAAACAAAGTGATAATAAATAGGGATGTACAACCTAAAGAATGAATTTGAGATGTAAGACCTTGAGAACTTGGCTTATTTTCTATGAATGAAAAGTGTGCACACAAAATTTGGTGAATACATGAATAAGCGTGATGAACACATGAACAAGGGACTCTAGTTCTGGTTCTCATAGTACACTTCATTTAGCACATTTAGGGAGAGAGAATCCTACAAGAATGTGCTAACAGATAATTCAAGGATGCCAAGGTGAAATAATCCTAAGCCGTGAAAGAGTTAGCACATACTAACAAAACTAAGTATTCAAAGGTTCATAAATGTCACAAGTATGAGACCAATGAATGCATTCATCTTAAAGGTGCAATTGAAGATTAAGTCAAGAAAGAAAGAATCACTAGATACACCAAAGAAGACACTTAAAAATGGAGAAATAAGAGGCGTATGGATTTTTCTTATATAGCTAGCTATCAAAGTAAATTGCTACGCATAAATTGCTCTCTCTACTAGGGTGATACCCCTCCCAAAAAGATAATAGAGGTTATGAAAGGAACCAACAAGGTAAGAGATAATACATAAGAGGAAGCTTATAATAAAGGGAAATAACCATTCTTAGCCTCTTCAACGGTAAACAACCATTTTATAACGTCAACCATAAGGGGATTCCTACCATAAAAAATGACGTCTACGATAACTGTCAAGAGAAAAAAAACAGAGTTATTATCTATTTATCAATTTTTATTTATGAAAGGGTCATAAACGACCAATTATAGAGTATAGAGATAGCGAGAGGATAAGAGACATTTCCAACTAAATATTTTTATTGATAATGAATGAAACCATAAAGTTACCTTTGACGTCTCACAAATTCTCTTTAATGAAGGGATTTCGTGTGAAAGAAACCAATTCTTTTAGAAAACATCCCTTAGACACCAATGTCGCGGACTTCGAAAAAAATCTAAAAAAAACATGTATGAGGAAGAACTCGGTCAAAAGAGACATTTTTAATATATATATATATATATATATATATATATATATATATATATATATATATATATATATATATATATATATATATATATATATATATATATATATATATATATATATATAACACTAAACAAGTTCACAAGAGTAAACAAAAACTCAATTTTTAGAAAAATATTAAAATTTTAAATATTATTAAATAATAGTGTATCTTCAAGAAAACCAAGTTCACAAGAGCCATTTGTCACATGGCGGCAGGTCAGTACACCCAACACCCGATCAACATCAATCAAGAAAGAGTATAATGTACTTCATCTTTCCTTGTCGCTCATAAGATACCAATTTTAATCATATGTATGTTATTATTGTAAAGTTAAAAGATTGATTTCAAAATTATGTTTGAATATGTTCAGATAAAGTGGATTAAACAAATACATTTTCTCGACTAAAATTAAAATTTGAGATGAAAACTCTAAGTTTATATGTAAAATACTACAACTAAACAATCAAATACTTACTGCAAATTCTGTGTGTTAATTTCAATTATACTTTGGCTGCAAACCCAAAAGATTACAATTAAGCTGAAAAGAAACAAAACTGGTGAAGTTTCGGAACAACAGATTGAAACCTATGGTTTCTCTGTCGCAAAAAATAGACACAATCGTCTATGTATTCACACATGTTTCGTTCTTCTTTATGGTACGTTGCTGTGTTTCTCTACTATTAAAAACTAATGAGAAATTCGTAATCCGCAAAAATAAAACAAAAATAAAAACCCAAAGTTTGAGATTCTGAATTATAGCATATCTTCCGGAGGAGGAAAGTTAAGATCGAAATCGAAATCTCTAACGGCTTTTACGCCTTCTTCACGGTGGTTCAGATCAATCACCGATGAAGAGTCTGAATCACTATGCGCACCGGTCGTCGCGTGGAATACACTCGTCTTCACGGAGGGAAAATATTCGAATCCGTAAGCCTTGTTAGGACGGGAATTCGCCGTACCGGCGCGTTGAAAAGTGTCAAAGTAAAACGCTGCCTGGTTTACCGCCGGAATCGGAGTGAACCGATGCGGAAACGGAAATCGGACGAGACCTTTGATTGGAGGAGCCAAATTGAGGTCAAGAGGAGGAGAAGAATCAGCGGCGGCATCACGGTCACGGTCACGGCTCGAGGATTCAACGGTGCTGCTTTGGCTAGGGCTATGGATCTTAAGATTTTCCGTATGGAAAGGGAAGTTAGTTTTCGCCTTGGGACCACGGAATTCACGTGCGGCGGCATCGTAGGCTCTTGCCGCTTCCTCCGCCGTGTCAAAGGTTCCGAGCCAAACACGGCTCTTCTTTCCTGGATCTCTGATCTCGGCGGCGTATCTTCCCCATGGCCTCTTCCTCACTCCGCGAAAATGCGGCTCCTTAACGACGCCGTTAGTGTTGCCGTTACTGTTCATATTAATGTCACCGCTCTTAACCTTCGGCGCCATGCTAATTTTAACGATGTTACTATACTAACGTAACTAACTTTTATTAAATATATTATTTTCGGTTTCTTGGGTGGCAAAGAAGAGAAGGAAGAAAGTATGGGATTAGTGAGGAGAATGTGTCTATTTTATAGAAGGGATGATGTATGTATGTATGTTATGGGTTATGAATGATGATGAGGATGTTGAAAGAGAGAGAAATGTTGGATACATAGTCAACAATGAATTTGATTGTGAAATGTTGGGTTGGGTGGGCTACATAACAGAACGTGGTGGCTAATTACTATACTAGTCATCTATCTATCTACGTGGAGTGTGGACTGTTCATATTTATAGGATATATAGCAGACAAATAAGATTGTTTCGACTCATCAACATCTTATGCTTTCTAAAGAAAAATGGTATACTAGAAATTAAATTAAATTAAAAAGTAGAAAAAAAAACTTTATTGTGTTATTTTCTCTTCTTGTTACTAGAAATTTAAAAAACTTTGTATTATATTATTTTTTAAAATTTATTAAATAATTAATATATTTAAACTAAATATAAATTTAATTTATTATTTATTTAATAAATTCATAAAAAAAAATTTATACCGAAGATTGGAAAAAATATAAGTTTGTTATGCCAATTAAACATTTTATAATATCAATTAAATATCAATTTTATTTTATTATTGCTCATGCAATCCATGTTAATTTTTTTAAAAATCTATAGAAAACTAATATTTAACCAAACTTTGGAGTTTGGACGGAGCAAGTAATATAGTGTGTGAGATTCTAATTCTAATTATGCGGCCAAAACCTTTTTGTGTTTTTTTAATTTCTCTTTAGCGTGTTAATTTGTTAAGAAAAAGTGGAACTTGAGGGGTCATTGTATTGCGCACGGAATTAGGTAGCGATTTGTCGGAATATGGGAAGCTTTTTACTTGATGGCTCCGCAATGTCAACAAGTAACAGCACGTTGGTGAAATCGTACTATACTCATACTTTAATAAAGAAAGAAAAAAAAGCATTACTACTAATAATAAACATATTTTAATTTTAGAAGAAAAAAAAGGATAGTGGAGTGAGTACGTAGAAAAGTTGTCGGCGGAATCTTCTACCTCGCCGCGTGACTTGATAATTGGAAACAGACAAAAAAGATTAATTAGTTTAATTAAAGAATGAATAATGAAGAGAAGTGTGTTGTGTAGTGTTGTTGGTTGAATTGAAAGGAAAGAAAGTGGCTGGCTGCTATTGTTTGTGGTTGTGGACATGAGAAAGAAACGCTCGAGCAATGGGGTGGACCAAGGAAAATCAATATGCGGCGGCGTTATTTTTTATTCACACGCGTATAATAACGCGTCTTGACTCTTCAATGCTAGCAGGACCATCAATAATGGCGTGGGAATGGAATGGGATGTTACTAGAATTTATTTCTAGCTTAAGGTTAGGCTTTATGTATTTATTTTGACCAAGAGTTATTTTTATTAATTACTACAGCTAATACTTTTAATTAGGATGGTAAAACGGGTTTACCCCCCCCGACAAACTGGTCCATGTACTAGTTAAAAATGACGGGTTTAGTTGAAATTTTATGTCTATCTATCCGTTCAGTCTGTTTTATTTTAAGTCTGTTAAAAAAAAGAAGTGAATTGTTCCACCAGTCTGCCAACCTAATTATTAAATACTTAAAATATTTATTTTAGTTGTTTGAATATTAATACTTAAATTATAATTTTAGAATACTGGTTTGTTGATGATTCTATTTTATATATTTATTTATAAATATGTGTAATATATTTTTAAATAAAATTTGTAAAATGATGTTTTATAAAAAATTGTTTAAAAAAAAAAGTGAAAAATATAATTAAAATATAAAAATAAATCTTTTAATTTATTAAATAAATAAATAAATAAAAATAGGCGAACAAGTCCGTCGCCCGCCAACCTGTCCCCTTGGCAGGGCGAACTAAATTTTTAAACCTTATTGCACTTTGCTATTTTGTCCGCCCTACCCCTTTTATTGGCGGGCTTAAGGTTGGGCGAGACTGGGCGGGACAAGGTGGGGCTGGCGTCCCATTTTGTCACATCGACTTTAAGTGTGGTACTATTAGCGGGTTCTTTTTTCACGTTTACCTAATCAATAAAATTTTATTTTACTTTTCTTTCTCCTTTTACATTTATTGTATTTCTCTAAAACTCTATTCAGATGTTGCTATTTCTTCAATATTTGTTCTTAGGATAACACCAACAATCATGATTTCTATGTCATACATCCATGAATAATAACAATATTATTGTCAGATATACAACACAAGATCCAGACAAATCCATATTTTATTCATCCTAGTGAAAAACTCGTTGCCATCATCGCTGATATTCCTATAACCAATTCCAATTAGAGTTGTTCTATGAAGAATGTTTTTTCTTTCAAGAATAAAACAAAATCTATCAACGTAACCCTCCTTCAACCAACGACGATGGATCCCGACATTGATCTAAGGGAAAGATGAAGCAACATAGTGATTTTTTATCGCTAAAACTTTCTCACTTTAATTAAATCTATCAGATTATTATATATATTGAATCTCCATAGGAGTTGTGGAAGGACTCACTCACTCTTAGAGGCAAGACGCTCATTCATTCTCACTACTACCAAAAACTCATCTCACCTCAGTTGAAAAATGAATTTTACTTCGGTTTTACATGCGATGTAATGTATGGCATCATGAAAACTTGTCACTTTAACCCTTGATTGTTGCTCCATCGAGGGGTAAAGTGTAATGGTCATTGGTTTGATCCATAACAATAACATTTTTTTTTATTATTTTCAAAACAATAAAGTACGTGCAACATACCTCTTGGTTTTTGTTAATATATGAAGGGAAAAAGAAAGTATTTGTGTCAGTTTGAAATTGAAACTGATGGATAAAATCTAATTTTTGTCATTTGCATTTTATTTTAAATCTCAATTTGATTGGCCTGTAACTTTTTTTACACAATCAGAATATAACATTTTGTGACAAAATCAGAATAATTTATTTTATAACAAAACATTTTAATATACAAACATTGTTTACAAAACTAAATATACATAACTAAAATGGCACACCAAGAGAACCTATACCTATTTGAAAACAGAATACAAAACCAAATACATGTGTAATAGAAAGCCTATACACGATATTTACGACAAATAAGAAAAACTAGTGTTGTTGAGATTCATAAATCGATAAGAAGCAATCGGCCCAACATGATCGAATATCATCTATATCTTCTTCTGAGTATGGTGTTCAATCGGTAAACACCTATAATATGTACAAAATTTAAATTATGATAGCTAACAACAATAACATTAACTTAACAAATATAAATATATTACATGTGTTTCATACCTTAACCCATCAATTACTAATGCATCGGAATATAATATCAAACATATGTTTCATAACATAATATTCACATGAATGGTTGTTGGGTTGTTTTCGCAACTACAAATAATTTTCATATAGTTACTAATACGCACAAGATATAAGCAATACATTATAGAAAATAAAAGAATGTCAAAAAGCAAGTAATACTTACTTTTGGGAAAGGAACTTTGATTTTTTTTTACCTTTTATATTATATTTCACAAAATTATATCCCTCTGTAGCTCTACACATCGATACAAATTAAACATGAATAATAATAATTCAAAATTAAAGGTAAAATTTGGGTATTACAAATAATATCACTTACCTGCTTAAAACGTCATGCATCAATTCATTAAGATAATATTGTAACGAGCATAACATAATTATAATATTTTGCTTCTGACATATAATAATTAGTTGCCAATATGAACTACATAAATATTCAGAATAATTAATAATGTGTATAAAATTGATTTATAAAAGAAAACACAAATTAATATATACTTACACATGATAAAACGGTCTCATGTAACATTATTTGTTCTTATCAATCAACTTATTTTGTATGTATATTTGGATAACGTCTTCTCCTTGTTGTTGAAATTGAATATTGTGTGGGTCTAAGAAACAATACTTTCTTAATTCTTTTTCAACAAAAATCTTATGCATGAACCTAATAGTTAATGCAAAATTCGAATCTTGTTGTTAATGTATGAGAACAATGAATATAAATTGAAATCAATGTAAAAATTGTACTTACGAGCACCAAAATTGTAGTACGGTTATGTCTAACCAATCATCTCACTTCAAAAATTCGATAACACAACTCTTATGAAGTATATAAGCTTGTTTTAGTTTATGTTTTAATGTAAACTCGTAGATGTCTGACATCTCCTCTATCATCCTTGATAGTCTTTTGATGTTATCTGATTGAGGTAGTGTGATGTTAATATTGTGTTGTGGGATAGAACAACTGGCACCACCCATAACAACTTTCTCACATACTTTCTCATTGATTTTAATTGCTGCGTCATAAAAACAACAACAAGAAAATACATAAATTTAAATACACAAACAATAACAACAACATACAACACAATTTTGTTAACATATACTTACCTCAAGCACATCGCAGACACACTTCTCCCACATTTCCTCGGTCAACTTCTCTTGTTCCTCCTTTGTTAACCTCTCTTGATCCTCCTGGAATCTCTCCCGCACCTCCTGCAACAACCTCTGCCACTCCTTCAGATGCACCCTCTCACGTTCCTCTTGAGTTAAGCTCTCTTGTGCCTACTGAGTCCATTTCTCCAGCGCCTCTTGAGTCCACTTCTCCCGCTTTAGTTCTAATACTTCTTATACTTTCTCCCCCAACCTTTGATAAAATATCCCATCAATTTATTTATTACAGACTACTTTGTTACTTGTTTGCAATGGTCCAAAATATAAACTCAATCTGACGCCTCTTCCGAGACCACAGACACGCCTACCGTGCTTCTATGTTCCAATCGCTTCTACTAATATGTCATGACATTCTCATGGAATAAAGATACCCTCCTTGGAATTTTCAATAAGTAAATCCTACAACATATATAAAAGTTCA